ACACAGTATGTGTAAATATATATATACATATATTATATTATATATATATCGACAACGGATTTAATCCGTACATAGAATTCGATATGTAAGCACATTGTAATTAACAAAAAGAGATATGGTTTCATTGCAAAAACACTATGATCTTATTATTATTTGATATATTGAGGTATTGTTGATACCTCGGTATGATGTATTCATAACTTCTCTTTTTCACTCTCTCTCTCTCTCCTAATTATGTTAATACTTTGGCANTGGTGCTGATGGTATTGGTACATCCTCAGTCTCTACTAATAATTCAGGATTGAATGAGGACGAAACAGCGAGCTCATCTTACGTGCCGGAAACTCCTGAGAATCAGGAAAGAGATCCAGACCAAGAAAGTGCAATAAGTACATCGTCCTGTGAGATTCCACCTTGTGCAGAATTAAATATCGCGTCATCTAGTGCAGAGCATACAATTATCCATGACAATGGAGTACCTGAAATACCTACATCGTCATATAATTTGAATCCAGACATTACATCAACTCATGTAGATTCTGTGCCGACCTCTAGCTATGAAGAACAAAATGTCTCAACTTCTTATGAGGTGCCGATTTCAATGCCTGGCCTAGAAGAGACACCTTCCCAAAACTTTGTCACCGAAAGTACAGATCATAGAAACGAGCCTTCTAGTTACTACGCTCACCATCAGGAGGTAACAGCGAGTTATTATGAACCAGTTGGCCAAGAAACAAACTCTAGGTTGGACGAAGATCCACAAGAGGAAGTTACTCCCAGTTATTATGAGGGTAATCCTCAAGAAGCCAGCCAGAGTTATTTTAACCCGGAAGAAGCTACACCGAGTTACTCCAGCCATAATGTTTCTCCTAGTTATTACGATCACAGACCAGAGAGCGAAGCCAGTCAGAGCTACTATTCTACAGACGATATAGAGAAAAGCGAACAATCCTCCTCACAGAATATTGAGGCGTCTCAAAGCTTTTACCAGGAACAATCGGATGAATTAAAATTACGACAGCAAGGAGAAGCTACCCCAACTTATACTGAAAGATATCCAGTTGATTACACATTGGAGAATTCCCCCATAGAAAGGCACGATCTTGTAGAAAGTTCTGTACCAGCCACAAGGCCTACAGAGAGGTAATACATTNACAGTATGTGTAAATATATATATACATATATTATATTATATATATATCGACAACGGATTTAATCCGTACATAGAATTCGATATGTAAGCACATTGTAATTAACAAAAAGAGATATGGTTTCATTGCAAAAACACTATGATCTTATTATTATTTGATATATTGAGGTATTGTTGATACCTCGGTATGATGTANACAGTATGTGTAAATATATATATACATATATTATATTATATATATATCGACAACGGATTTAATCCGTACATAGAATTCGATATGTAAGCACATTGTAATTAACAAAAAGAGATATGGTTTCATTGCAAAAACACTATGATCTTATTATTATTTGATATATTGAGGTATTGTTGATACCTCGGTATGATGTATTCATAACTTCTCTTTTTCACTCTCTCTCTCTCTCCTAATTATGTTAATACTTTGGCATATGACAACTTTCTTACTATTATACGTTTTTAAATATCATATGCATGCAATGTGTATATTGTAAAATTTCGCTGTGGATCATTGGGGTAGTAGTAAAACCTATCAATCGCTCGTTTTGCATTATGTAATTGTTGCAACGAAAATACCATTTGCTCTATTAATAATTCGTTTTGCAATTACGTCGAACGAGTCCAGATAAAATGGTTATAGAATATTTATACATTGTCACAATTTTTTATTAAAAAAGAGTAATCAAAGTTACTGCTACTCCATAGAGTTGAATTTTAACGAGCGAACTTCTTTATCAAATGCCCAAGAACGGGGCTTGAGTAATTGTATAAAAAAAATAAATGCACAATATATCTTCAATAAAGTACTAATAATGTACGCCCTAAAATATTTGTAAAATACACAAGTAAAGACTTTTTGGGCTATCATTCGAAGACTTAATTTTTCATATAAGTTCTTCACTATCCGTTCTTTTCGCTCAATGAACTGCCTGTTGATAGAAATTTTTAATGTTGTAAGTAATCACAGGTGCGTATGATTGAGCGGATCCAAGGATCGTGTTATTAGACGTACAGTGTTTACTTTGTAGGTACTAGTTTATATTTACGAGAAACAAACAGCCTATTATTTCATCTATAACGATGTGTAACCTGTGTGTTGATGCTATGTAAAGGATAAAAGGGTTTTAACAGAAAATCTGTCATATTTGAGTCGAATTCACGCTTTATAAGGAACTGTAGTTTATAATTAAAATATTCGGATAATTCTTGTTACGAACGAATCATCGATTGTGTCAGAAGGACATTATATTTCTGTAATATATTTAAATTAAATCGGAATATTGCATAATTTATTTTTAAATTAATTAGTACGGTATGCTGATAAAATGTATATTTTAATAAGTGTTTCCTAATATAAATTGAAACAAATAATGTGTCCAAGATAATTCGTGGATCTCAAACATGACAGATTTGCTATTGCATCCTAATAGAAATGATTATATTATATTCTTTATAAACTCATGTTATCAAAAATAAATTTGTTTTTATTTCCCGTGGCGTTTTCAATTATGGTCACGTATGTATATATTATTGTCAAGGG